ACCACCCTAATCATATTTATTTTTATTTATTTATTTTAAAAGTTTTGGGGCCGGGTGGTGGCTCAAGCCTGTAATCCCAGCATTTTGGGAGGCCGAGGCGGGTGGATCACAAGGTCGAGAGATCGAGACCATCCTGGTCAACATGGTGAAACTCCGTCTCTACTAAAAATACAAAAAATTAGCTGGGCATGGTGGCGCGTGCCTGTAATCCCAGCTACTCAGGAGGCTGAGGCAGGAGAATTGCCTGAACCCAGGAGGCGGAGGTTGCGGTGAGCTGAGATCGCGCCATTGTACTCCAGCCTGGGTAACAAGAGTGAAACTCCGTCTCAGAAAAAAAAAAAAAAAAAAAAAATGTTTGTAGAGATGGGGTCTTACTGTGTTGCCCACAGTTGTCTCAAACTTGTGGACTCAAACAATCCTCCCTCCTCAACCTCCTAAAGTGCAGGGATTACAGGTGTGAGCCACTGTGCCAGGCCACTTTGAGCTATTTCAAACAGCTGCCTCTCCCACTAATTGCAAACCCTTTAAAATCAAGGAGGACGGGCTCAGTGGCTCACACCTGTAATCCTAGCACTTTGGGAGGCCAAGGCAAGTGGATTATCTGAGGTCGGGAGTTTGAGACCAGCCTGACCAACATGGAGGAAATGCCATCTCTACTAAAAATACAAAAGTAGCCAGGCGTGGTAGCACATGCCTGTAATCCCAGCAACCTGGGAGGCCGAGGCAGGAGAATGGCTTGAGCCCGGGAGGCAGAGGTTGCAGTGAGTGGAGATCACACCACAGCACTCCAGCCTGGGCAACAAGAGCAAAACTCCATCTCAAAAGAAAAAAAAAAAAAAAAGAAAAAAAAAAAAATCAAGGACTAGATCTGGCTGACTTTTTAGTCTCTCAGCTCCTGGCACAGAATCACAAACAGATCATTTGAAAAGACCATCTGTTGTTTCGTCTGCCCATCTTTCTCTTTTTCCCCACTCCTTAAAAAAAAGAAAAAGAAAAAGAAAAAAATAAACCAGGCACAGTGGCTTATGCCTGTAATTCCTAGCACTTTGGGAGGCCCGGGTGGGAGGATCATTTGCGGTCAGGAGTTCAAGACCAGCCTGGCCATCATGGTGAAACCCCATTTCTACTAAAAATACAAAAATTAGCTGGACGTGATGGCAGGCTCCTGTAATCCCAGCTACTGAGGAGCCTGAGGCAGGAGAATCGCTTGAACCCGGAAAACGGAGGTTGTAGTTGTAAGGGTAGTCGAGAGAAAGGAGAATAGACCCAAAGTCAGACAAGTAAGTTTTATTAGCCTGCCAGGCTGCTCCGTAGCAATCAGAGGAGGCAGCCCCAAGCTTACAAAACAAGGTGTTTACATGGGGTGAGAGGGGCATACCGGAGTTTCAGGACTGAGGTAATCTATCCACCTGTAGCAGGCACAGAGATAGTTTGTCAACTTGTAACAGACCTACAAATAATACATCATCCTGTGATTTTTGTGGTGGCAGGTTTTTTTTTTTTTTTTTTTTAAAGAGAGAAACCAGGATTTTTAACAGATATGTGCCAAACAGGAATTTACAAGTATGGACAATCAACATATGTTTTCCCTGTCCTCCCTTGGAGCTGCCTGGATGGCCTTCATCAAGCTTTGCTTAATTGTAGCACAATTGGCAACCTTGATGTGGCGCCTAGGCAGGGTTCAGGAATGCAGCTGCAGAGCAGTCAGAGAGGGGAGGGGGTCAGCTTGCGTGGAGGGCGTTTTATGAAGTAGCTTGTTCCTAACAGTAGTGAGCCAAGATTGCTCCACTGCACTCCAGCCTGGGTAGAAGTAAGACTTCATCTAAAATAAAATAAAATAATAGAGGCAGGGTATTGCTCTGTCACCGAGACTGGAGTGCAGTGGTGGGGGTCATAGCTCACTATAGCCTGGAACTAACTCCTGAATAGCTAGGACTACAGGCACACATTATCCTGCCTGGCTAATTTTTGTATTTTTTTATGGAGACAGTCTCATTATATTGCCCAACTTGGTCTCAAAGTCATGGGCTTAAGCTATCCTCTTAACCCAGCCTCCGAAAGCACTGGGATTACAAGTGTGAGCCACCGTGCCCAGCAGTCCCAGCTCTTTGATAGGCAGATCACCTGAGTTCAGGAGTTCGAGACTAGCCTGGCCAACATGGCTAAACCTTGTCTTTACCAAAATACAGAATTAGTCAGGGGTGGTGGCACACACCTGTAATCCCAGCTACTCAGGAGGCTGAGGCAGGAGAATCACTTGAACCCAGCAGCCAGAGGTTGCAGTGAGCTGAGATCATGCCATTGCACTCCAGCCTGGGCAACAAAGCAAGACTCCATCTCAAAAAAAAAAAAAGAAAAAAGAAAAACAAACAAAAAAGCACAAGGGAAAAGAGACTCCTAATTATATTTTATCAGAACCTAGTATTAATGATGTCAGCCACCCCTGTCCTATTTCTGGGGACTTTTTCCATTTACATCAACTTTCTCTGGGTTTGTTTTCAGCTTTGTGTTTTCTTTGTTTTTGTTGAAGCCAGTTTGAGGTGTGTTTTTGACACTTGCAAAGGCAAGAGTCCTGTAATCCATTCATCATTCATTCATTCAACCGTTTTTTGTTGTTTTTTTTTTTTTTGAGACAGTGTCTCACCCTGTCACCCATCACCCAGGCTGGAGTGCAGTGGCACGATCTTTGCTCACTGCAACCTCTGCCTTCCAGGTTCAAGCAATTCTCCTGCCTTAGCCTCCCGAGTAGCTGGGATTACAGGCGTGCGCCACCATGCCTGGCTAGTATCTGTAGTAGAGACCGGTTTCACCATGTTGGCCAGGCTGGTCTCGAACTTCTGACCCTGTGATTTGCCCGCCTCAGCCTCCCAAAGTGCTGGAATTTTTTTTTTGAGACAGAGTTTCACTCTGACCAACATGGTGAAACCCCGTCTTTAAAAACAAAACGAAATGAAACAAAAATTAGCTGGGCTCGGTGTCACGTGCCTGTAGTCTCAACTACTTGGGAGGCTAAGGCACAAGAATTGCTTGAATCCGGGAGATGGAATTTGCAGTGAGCTGAGATCACACCATTGCACACCAGTCTGGGTGACAGAGCGAGACCCTGTCTCAAAAACTAAATAAATAAATTTATTTATTTAGTTTTTGAGACAGGGTCTCACTGTTTTGTCCACGCTAGAGTACAGAGACATGATTATGGGTTACTGCAGCCTTTATCTTCCAGGTTTAAGGGATCCTCCTACCTCAGCTTCCCCAGTAGCTGAGACCACAGGAATGTGCCAACAGGCAAGGTTGATTTATGTGTGTGTGTGTGTGTGTGTGTGTGTGTGTGTGTGTACAGACAGGCTGTCACCCTGTTGCCCAGACTGGTCTCAAACTCCTGGGCTCAACCAATTCTCCTGCCTCAGCCTCCCGAAGTGCTGGGATTGCTGGTGTGAGCCAATATGCCCAGGTGATAAATTTATTTCCTACAGTTCTGGAGACCGGGAAGTCCGAAAACTTGCTGTCAGCATCTGAGGAGGGCCTTCTGGCTGCATCACAGCATCAGGAGGGGATCACAGGGCAAGGGAGAGCAAGAGGTATCAGCTTAGGTCTCTTCCTCTTCTTTTTTTCTTCCTGAGAAAGTTTCGATCTTGCCGCCCAGGCTGGAGTGCAATGGCACAATATTGGCTCACTGCTACCTCCGCCTCCTGGGTTCAAGCTATTCTGTCACCTCAGCCTTCTGAGTAATTGAAATTACAGGTGCCTGTCACCATGATGGAGTAATTTCTGTATTTTTAGTATAGACAGGGTTTCACCATGTTGGCCAGGCTGGTCTTGAACTCTTGACTTCAGGTGATCCACCCGCCTTGGCCTCTCGAAGTCCTGGGATTACAGGTATGAGCCACCACACCCAGCCCTCTTCCTCTTCTTATGAAGTCACTGGACCCATCTTGGGAGCCCCACCCTTGTGACCTTATCTAATTCTAATTAGCTTGAAAAGGCTCCACTTCTGATTTCATCAACATATGAATGTGGCAGTTACCTTTCCAACATATGAAATTTGCTCAAGGCACAGTGGCTTACACTTGTAATCCCAGAATTTTGGGAGGCCAAGGCAGGTGGATCACTTGAGGTCAGGAGTTCAAGACCAGCCTGGCCAACATGGTGAAACCCCGTCTCTACTAAAAATACAAAAATTAGCCAAGCATGGTGGCACGTGCTGTAATCCTAGCTACTTGAGAAGCTGAGGCAGGAGAATCACTTGAACCTGGGAGGCAGAGGTTGCAGCGAGCTGACATCCCGCCACTGCCCTCCAGCCTGGGTGACAGAATGAGACTCTGTCTCAAAAAAAAAAAAAGTGAAAGAAATATGGGGAATTCATTTAAACCAAAGTAGTGCCCATCACAGGGTTGTGGGGAGACTGAAATACGCTGTGTGGATGCAACTAGCATGTTAGGCACTTTCTCTCCCAAAATTCAGCCCTCCAAGGGCCTCGGATTTTCCCTTCCCCTAGGCTGCCTCTTCCAGACCAAAGATTCCAAAGGGTGGAGAGGGGGAAGCCCAGGTTGAGTAGAGTAACTGGGTGTGTCTGGGGGGCGAATGTCCTGACTGCCTAGACGTGGATGTAGGGGGGACAGGGTTAGACTATAACCATGAAACAGACTGAGGATCCAGGTGCCTTTGAACTCCAGCTCCTCTGCTTCCCAGCTATGAGACCTCAGACAAGTCAGTTTCCTCATATCAAGACTGGGGATGATCATGACAGACTCTGCCTAGTGAGGCTGTTAAGAGATTGAATAAGCAATTGGATACCAAAGTGCTTAGAACAATTATTGGCAGAGAGTAAGGGCTCAATAAATTGGCAATTATTGTCATCTCCCCTGCCTTCCCCCACCCCAGGCAAGTGGGCCAAGTTTACACCAACAGTTATCTCTCCCTCCCTTTCTTTCTCCCTCCTGCCCTCCTGCCCCCTGTAACTCACCCAGTGTAGCTGCCTTCAGAGCATACAATCAAACAGATCCTTTTAGAAAAGCAGGTTTATTGGTCGGGCTGCTCACCAGGACACAGCAATGTGAGAGGTTCCCCAAGCCCAGCTGTCCACGACTCAGGCCCCTTCGGCCCATCCGCACCAAGGGACCTTGTCCCACAATCCCCAACCTCCCTCAGTTGAGGGGTCTTCAACCATTCAGAGGAGAGAAGGGAACCAAGAAAGGGAAAAGGAAGAAAAAAAAAAAAAAAAAAAAAAAGCAGAGCTTTGAATTGTATAAAAGATTTGTGTCCCCATCCTCCCTCCCCCAATCCCTTAAAACAATGAGCTGCAATTCTAAAAAGCAGGGCAGGGAAGATAAGGAGCAGGTGAGGGAAGAAGGAGGCAGCCTTCCAGGTCTCCCTTCCGGCTGTGACTGAGAACAGGGTTGTTCTTGCTTCCGACAAACCCCGTTTAATGGGGAGGAACCAGGGGGACTCAAGTGTCTTGAGAACCTGGCCCAAACAGAATGAGGCCTCTGCACTGGGAGCCACACTCCCTTCACTCCCAAAAACTTCAGGAAACGTACCCCCGAGGACGAGGAAAACAGTGAGGTCTTGGCTAGTTCTGCAGCTTTAGGACACTCGCTTTAGGGAAAGGCTTTTTCTTTTTTAAACAGGGTCCGGCTCTGCTACCCAGGATGGAGTGCAGTGGCACCATCATAGCTCACTGCAACCTCACACGTCTGGGCTCTGGCGATCCTCCCACCTTAGCCTCCCGAGTAGCTGGGACCACAGGCACATGCCACCGTGCCCGGCTAGGAAAGGAGAAACTTAAGAAGAAACTGCCAGGAGTGAACCAGGGCTGGCTGCTCTGTGATGTGCTCTCCGCACCCTGCCTCCAGCTCTCAACTTGGTGGCAGGGCCAACATCCTGCTCTCCCTCCTCACTCCCAGCCTGCCTCTGCCCCCTTCTGGGACCCGAATTTTCTGCACTTTGAGAAATGGGCTACCCCTGGGGTTGCCTTGAGAGCCCAGTTGAGGGATCGGGTGAGGCTGACCTCTGCCCTCTTTGGATCATCACCTTCTCACACTGTCCTCCCTCTTGATCCTGAAAATGGCCCTGCTGCCCTTGGAGAACCACAGTAAGATGTGGTTCTCAAACAGCTAGTGAGGGGACTTCTCTCTTCACCCATTTCCACCTTCTCCTTTTTTCCTTTTTTTTTTTTTCTTTTGTTCAGGAGTCTTGCTCAGTTGCCCAGGCTGGAGTGCAATGGCATGATCATGGCTCACTGCAACCTCTACCTCCCGGGATCAAATGATTCTCTCCGCCTCAGCCTCCTGAGTAGCTGGGATTACAGGCACGTGCCACCACGCCCAGCTAATTTTTGAATTTTTAGTAGAGATGGGGTTTCACCATGTTGGCCAGGCTGGTCTCGAACTCCTGACCTTAGGTGATCCTCCCAGCTTGGCCTCCCAAAGTGTTGGGATTACAGGCGTGAGCCACCGCACCTGGCCGACCTTCTCCTGTGTTCCCATTCTCCTTCCCAAAGCCATGGCCATGTGCTCCTGTGTGCAGGTGCATAAACAGCAGTGTGCCTTCCCTCGTGTGCACGTCTTCCCCATCCCTCCTTCCCAGGGCTTCTCTTGGCTCCAGCCTTTCTCCAGGACCCTCTGCAGATACAGCCTGTGCTGGACTCCCAGCCAGGGTGAGGGCTCATTCTTCCCTGTCTTCCCCACTGTCTCAGTTTCCCCCAAAAGCTGCTTTCATGTCCTTCTAGAAGGGGGCCTCCCATGTGGGCAAGGGTCCCCTTTAGGATTCAGTCTTCCTCTTTGGACAGTTTGGGCTTTGAGTCCCCCGGGGGTCAGGGTGAGAATGAAGAAGAGCTCAGTGAGCACGAATGGCAGTAGCTGGTGGGTGGTGTGGGGAGAGGCTGAGGGGAAGGCAGCTCCCCCGGGGGCCCTAACGGTGGAATCTCAGCAATTTTCTCTAAGATCCCGACTTGGACGACCAGGACAGGCATAGATGATTCCTTTCCCATTTCCACCCCGACTGTGTCCAAGCGAGGGCTGTCCACTGCGGGGGCTGCCTCCCCCTTGGGTCCTAAAAGCTCTAAGACTCGGAGGGGTGCTCCTGAAAGTGTGTGAGGGGTACTTTCAATTTAGAAGAATCTCAACCAGTTCGGGCAGAGAGAGAAAGCGAAAGAGGAAGTTCGGAAGGGGCAAGGAATGGGGTGGGTGGCGGCGCCGGCGGCTCAGTCGCTGTCGCTCTTGTCCACCAGCACGGCATCCGACTCCTCGGTGATCTCCAGCAGCGCGTGCGCGTCGGGGCTGCTCCCGCGCCGCAGGTCGCCTGCCTCCCCGCGCTCCACGCCGCCCTCGTCGTCGTCGGCGCCCACCTCCACCATCTCGGTGGCCTTGAGCACCTCCACCTGGCCCTCGCGGATCTTCTTGACGTGGAAGGTGAAGGGCGGCACCTTGTAGACCGCGGTCTTGGAGCGCGCGTACACCACGTGGTCGGGCGTGAAGGACTTGCGGAGCTTGTCCCGCGACGTCTTCAGCTTCTCGCGCCGCTCCGCGGGCACCAGGCGCGTGCCCAGCTTGTTCATGCGCTTCTCCAGGGTGTGTCGCGTCTTCTCCAGGTTCTCCTTGGTCTTGAGGCGCGTCTTCTCCAGGTTCTCGCGGGTGCGCACCTTGGTCTTCTCCATCTTCTCCTTGGAGAAGGCCTTCTTGAAGTCGTCCACGCGACGCAGGCCGCTGCGCTTGATGCGCTCTGCGCGCGACTCCTCGATGACCTCCTCCACCTCCACTGCCTCATCCGACGACAGCTCCAGCGCCGCTGCGTCCTCCTCTGGCCGCTCGCCCTCGCCCAGCTCCTCACCCTCCTTCTCGGGCAGCGCCTCCGACTCTTTCAGGGACTTGCTGATGCTCAGTTTGGCCGGCAGCTTCACTTCATCCTAAGGGGAGAGAAGGGACATGAGAGGGAGCGGAGGAGGGACACGTGGTCGATCCTGAGTCAGGGTGGTGGCGATCCTGAAGAGAGGGGAGCACGGGACGCGCGTGGTCCCCGGAAACCGGCCTGACTTGTTCGTCGTATGCCCAATGCCTAGCACAGGAGGCCAAGGCAGGCAGATCATCTGAAGTCAGGAGTTCGACACCAGCCTGGCCAACATGGTGAAACCCCATTTCTACTAACAATAAATAAAATTATTTATTTATTTATAAATGTCCAGTCCAGCATAGGACTGGACGCATCGTGGGCACTCAGTAAATGTGTGTAGGCCATGTCATGGTGGCTCACGCCTCTAATATTAGTGCTTTGGGACACCGAGGCAGGATTGCTTGAGCCCAGGAGTTCGAGACCAGCCTGAGCAACATAGGCAACCCCCCTCTCCGGCCCCCCAACCCCGCGCCGCCATTCTTTTTTTTTTTTTTCTCGGCTCATCGCAACCTCCGTCTCCTGGGTTCAAGCGATTTTCCTGCCTCAGCCTCCTCAGTAGCTGGGATTACAGGCATGCGCAACCACGCCAGGGTAATTTCGTATTTTTAGCAGAGATGGGGTTTCTCCACGTTGCTCAGGCTGGTATCGAACTCCTGACCTCAGGTGATCCGCCCACCGCGGCCTCCCAAAGTGCTGGAATTACAGGTGTGAGCCACTGAGCCAGGCCACACGTCGCCATTCTCTAAAAAAATACGTGTACGTTGAACGAATGATGACTACAGAAACCGCGCGAGGAGGGGACCGAGCTTCAGGTCGGAGACGGGCCTGCGTCATACTTGCTCTTGGGCTAAACCTCTGTGGTCGTCCACCCACACCTGTGCCCCGTCCGCCCAGCAGATGACGTTAAAACCACTGCGGCCCTCCGGAGACACAGCTCGACTTTGGAAATGGGCGGAGCGCCCTCTGCTGCCGCAAATTGCACACTGTCGGAGCCAGGCAGCAAAGCAAGTGGTGGGAGTGTCTGGGTTTAAAGGAATAGGGGTTTGAGCCTACAGCCACAGCTACCCAAGGAAGCAGGTACAGTAAAGGGAGTGCATTTCCCAGACTCAAGCTATTTCTTTTTTTTTTTTGAGACGGAGTCTCACTTTGTTGCCCAGGCCGGAGTGCAGTGTTGCAATCTTGGCTCATTGCAACCTCCACCTCCCAGGTTCCAACGATTCTCCTGCCTCAGCCTCTCTAGTAGCTGGGACTACAGGCACATGCCACCATGCCCGGCTAATTATATTTATTGTTAGTAGAGATGGGGTTTCACCATGTTGGCCAGGCTGGTGTCGAACTCCTGACTTCAGATGATCTGCCTGCCTTGGCCTCCCAAAGGGCTGGTCCCAAAGGGCTGGGATTACAGGCGTGAGCCACCACACCTGGCCTCAAACTATTTCAGAACCAGCCTTAGAGTTGGAGAATTGTGGCTCACCCTCCCTGATAGCCACCTTCCTTGACTCCCTCATACTGTTGGGCTCCACCAGTGGTCATTCTCCCTGCTCCGTCTCATTTAGAAATTGATGTTGGAAAGAGGAAGAAGCTGGCTGGGAGCCAAGGACATGTTTTCTCCCCAGTCTGGACATTTCTTCTGGTTGTGACTTCACCACCTTGGGATGGAAGAAAGAGATACTCTTCAATTCTTGCTTTCCTTGCCCCCTGCTCCCCCACAAAGCCTGAGCTCAGAGGTCTAGGAGTAGGATGGGTGGTCTCAGATTCCCCATGACCCTGGAGCTCAGAGCCAGTTCTTTGCTTTTCTCTCTTCCCCTTGGGGGACTTAGCACCAGAACTGCTTTCCATTCCCGGGAAGATTTTCCAAGATCTTGACTCTGGCCAACATTTCAGAATCTCTGGATCACCCCCTCCCTAACTTCCACCCCATCAGAAAGCAGGGGAGGCTGAGCACAGAGAGGGAAAGGGCAAACCAAGATCATTAATAGGATCTCCTCTTTGGCCCAAACTCCCTTTGGGGACTTCAAATGAAGGAATGAGAGATAGTTGCTTTTCTAAAGGGTTTTCTAAAGACCATTTCCCAGAACTGTAAGAAAAATCCTGTCCCCAGAGAAAATGAGGCAACATGAACTGACCCCTCTCATAGACACACACACACACACACACACACACACACACACACACACACACCCCTATACATAGGCGGCTCAGTATCCCTGTACCACCTGCTACAGAAATTCCTTCCCCAGCCTCCAACTCTTTCCTCTTCCCTCCCACCGACATCCCCCCAGAGTTTCCTGGCTTACACTGAAAACTAGGAACACCCTCTCCCAACTTCCTTCCCTTCTTGTCAATAGCATTAGCAGGGACAAAAAGGGAATGCTGGTTCCACCTCTTTTCTCAACTGGGCAGCAGCTCTGCTGGGCACAGAGCCACCTCTAGCTCTCTCTTACCCAACTACACCTCCCAGCAGGCAAGGTGACCTGGGCACAGGGCATGCTGGGACTTGTAGTCGCCACCTGCCATAGGCGGCTTAGTGGGGATCATGGGCCTCCTAGGGCATTTTGTTTATCCCTCAGCCTCTTATCACTCACTGAGGCACGGAAGGGTGTTTTCCTTGTTCTAAATGTAGGAGGATCCCAACTTCTCTTTATGTTGTCTCTGATTTCCAATCATTCACTTTGGGGCTCCTGTAATCACCTGCCTGCTCCTGGAGTGCATATCATTTAAGACTTACACATCATTTTAGGATCAAAACCCTGTTCATTCATCTTCACCCAGAATTTACCTGCGGCCCCAGTATTAAAAAAATTCAGCTCTAGGCCGGGCGCGGTGGCTCAAGCCTGTAATCCCAGCACTTTGGGAGGCCGAGGCGGGTGGATCATGAGGTCAAGAGATCGAGACCATCCTGGTCAACATAGTGAAACCCCGTCTCTACTAAAAATACAAAAAATTAGCTGGGCATGGTGGCGCGTGCCTGTAATCCCAGCTACTCAGGAGGCCGAGACAGGAGAATTGCCCGAGCCCAGGAGGCGGAGGTTGCGGTGAGCCGAGATCGCGCCATTGCACTCCAGCCTGGGTAACAAGAGCGAAACTCCGTCTCAAAAAAAAAAAAAAAAAAAAAAAAAAAAAAAAAAAAAAAATTCAGCTCTGATCTTCATAGCCTCCCAGACTGAAAACACACCCACCCCCTACCAAAGGGTGGAGGAGAGCCCCTCCTTTCAATCAACTCAGACAATGTGAATAGGCTAGGGAGGGATTAAGGGTGACAGGCGGGGAATAGTCAGGAAACAGCCCCAGCTGCTGGAAAACAAATCCACATTGTCTCTCTGCCCTACCCCCAACATCCCCCCTCCTCCCCTACCCTGGTGCCTGCTCCACCCCTACCCCTAAAGGCTGAGCTGGTTTTCCTGGCCTCTGGCTTCCTAGATAAAGGTCTTTGCCAGCTGAACTAGGGAGTGAATGGGACCAGGGAATGAGCTGCAGACTTTTTATAGCCAATGCCATCTTCCTGGTGCCTTATGAAAGGTCTCAAACTACAACATAAGGGAGCAATCCTAGTGAGAGGAGTTTTTATTTTTTATTTTTATTTATTTATTTAAAAAATAAAAAGACGGGGTTTCACCGTTGTTGGTCAGGCTGGTCTTGAACTCGTGACCTCAGGTGATCCACCTGCCTTGGCCTCCAAAGAGCTTGGATTACAGGCATGAGGCACCACACCAGGCCTTTTTTTTTTTTAATTTTTCTTTCTTTCTTTCTTTTTTTTTTTTTTTTTGAGATGAAGTTTTGCTCTTATTGCCTGGGCTGGAGGGTAATGGCACGATCTTGGCTCACGGCAACCCCTGCCTCCTGGGTTCAAGCAATTCTCCTGCCTCAACCTCCTAAGTAGCTGGGATTACAGGCCTTTGCCACCATGCCTGGCTAATTTTGTGGGTTTCTACATGTTGGTCTTGAATGCCCAACCTCAGGTGATCTGCCCACCTTGGCCTCCCAAAATGCTGGGATTACAGGTGTGAGCAACTGCGCCTGACCTTTTTGTTTGGTTTTTTTTTTTTTTTTTTTTTTTTTTTTTTGAGACATAGTCTCTCTCGATCTGTCACCCAGGATGGAGTGGCAAGATCTCTCAGCTCACTGCACCTCTGCCTCCTGGGTTCAAGCGATTCTCCTGTCTCAGCCTCCCAAGTAGCTGGGATTACAAGCATGCGCCACCACACCCAGCTAGTTTTCGTATTTTTTTTTTTTTTTTTTTTGAGACGGAGTTTCGCTCTTGTTACCCAGGCTGGAGTGCAATGGCGCGATCTTGGCTCACTGCAACCTCCGCCTCCTGGGTTCAGGCAATTCTCCTGCCTCAGCCTCCTGAGTAGCTTGGATTACAGGCATATGCCACCATGCCCAGCTACTTTTTTGTATTTTTAGTAGAGACGGGGTTTCACCATGTTGACCAGGATGGTCTCGATCTCTTGACCTCGTGATCCACCCGCCTCGGCCTCCCAAAGTGCTGGGATTACAGGCTTGAGCCACCGCGCCCGGCCCCAGTTTTCGTATTTTTTGATAGAGACAGGGTTTCACCATGTTGGCCAGGCTGATCTCAAACTCCTGCCCTCAAGTGAACAATCTGCCTTGACCTCCCAAAGTGCTGGGATTACAGGCATGAACCACCGTGCCTGGCTGTTTTTGTGTTTTTGTTTTGAGACATGTCTTCTTCTGTCAACCAGGCTGAAGTGCAGTGACATGATTACAGCTCGCTGTAGCCTCAACCTCATGGGCTCTAGTGATCCTCCCACCTCAGCCTCCCGAGTAGCTGGAACTACAGGTGCAGGCCACCATGCCCAGCTAATTTTTGTAGTTTTTGTACAGGCAGACTCTCATTATGTTGCCCCGGCTGGTCTCGAACTCCTGGGCTCAAGTGATCCCCTCGTCTCAGCCTCTGTACGTGCTGAGATTTCTGGCATGAGCCACTGCGCCTGGCCAAGGGGAGGTTTATTCCTGGATTTGGAAATCTCTCCAGACCAGTAAGGGATCTGG